GGTGTTTTCAGCTCTGACAGAGACTAATGCCAGTCTGCAGATCACAGCCACCTCTGCGCTCACCTCGCTAGCACAACAAACAGGTGAGATGAACTCTTCCATTCCCAGCTGCCAGCAGAGTCAGATATGGTCATAAATTCGGCGCTGTTATTACAGATGTACTGTCTCTCTCAGGTCTGCTGCTGGACTCCGATATCGAGCTGGCTGTAGATCACCTGACCAGACTGTTGCTGACGGAGGAGGACAACAGAGTCAGGTCAGCTCATGTTGAACATCCTTCTGTCTCTCCTCTCCCCCTGTCGTCCTTTTTGGCCTTTACCTTTACCTCCCCCCCCCCCACATTGTATACCTTGTGGTTTTCCTTTTGACAAAATCAGAATGAAGACGTTTGGATTTTGTTTTGCAGTTGAACAGGAAGTGTATGTCTCTGTTTCTTGTCTGTTCCTGTCTGCAGTCTTGCTGTGGTTGAGTGTGTCGGAGCCCTAGCAGAGTTGCACCCAGCAGCCTTTATCGCTAAACTGATCCCAAGACTAAAGAAGGAAATGTTTACAGGTAGGTGAAAAGCATACACAAAAATATGACCTACCCTATAAGGAAATGTTATTTTTTAAAACACTATACAGGTATTGATATTTGTATGATACAGGGCTTATAAAAAGTACTGTTTTATTTACTATTTGTTGATACTGATCAAAATAAATATTACTTCTCTGAATTTTTAAAACAAAGTATTGGCCCCCTTCCAGTAATGTTCCTCTTCACCTTACACTTTAACTTTAGATCAGCAGACTAAATGAATACAGCTTACAACCCTTTCTCTTCCTCTCCTCTGCTCAGAGCCAATGGATCAAGACAACAACAACAGAGAAGCTTCTGAGCAGCAGACCCGTCATGCAGTGCGCCAGCGTTGTATGTCTGCTCTGGCTGCGATGTCCACCCAACCCAGTGTCGTCCAGGAGAGCACACCTGTCCTCTTGGAGGTCCTGAGCTCAGCACACACAGGTAATCCGTCTGCACTGCACTTGTGTTAAACAACATGCATCAGTTAATGATTTGGTGTGTTGTTGTGCAGCACTTGTTTACTGTTACAGGTTAAAGAAATTAGGAAGAAATAATGAATATCAATGTCATTTGTTGTATTTTTTCTTTTTTCCAGGTAGTGTTGGTTTCTCAGTGGAGGAGGTGGTGGCGGCGTGTCACAGCCTCCAGAGAATAGCAGAGCAGGTTCAGGACACAGAGGAGACGGGACGATGCTTCCATGACGTCATCATCCCGCGCCTGCTGTCTCTGGCTCTCCAGGCAGCACTGCAGGGTGAGCAATGTGACGATAACCTCCTCTTCTACCTTCCACCAAAACTCCACAACTCGTACCTTCACTACTGATAATGTGTTACTCTCTTTATAACTGCTACTGCATCGGTTTACCTTTTTAAAAACAAAACATGAACGTTGAAAGCTGAAATTCATGTTCATGTTTTGTAGGTGAGGGGTCATCTGGTCGCCGTAGTCCTCTTTTGGAGGAGGTGGTCCTGTCTGCCATGGTCCCCGTCATCAGTACTTCCTGCTCCAGGCTACAGCCCACGTCAGTACAAACTCGCTCATCCATCTCCTGCTTTGCTCTCTCTGTGAGCACTTTTCAACACATTGACACTCTTTGTTCACCACAATGCAACGATAATGATATCTGTATGTTTTTATAAATCTGAAGGGTAGGGTAGTGTGTAGTGTTTAGTGCCAGCTAGCAGTGAAGTAGCAGATTGCAACCATTTGAATACAGCTCAGCCTTCTAAAGTGTGCAGGAAAAGAAGAGAAAAAAACTCCTTAGATAGCGTTTGTCCATTCTGGGTAACGAAAACACAAAGATTCTCATTTTCAGGTGATTAT